CGTAAATTTTCTAAAAAATTTAACTGGCTATTTTTGAAGCACTGCTGTTGTTGCTCAAGTAGAAGCTGTAATTGATCGGAAAAGGTAGTCATTTTTTTTCAGCACCTGCAATGAAAATTGACTGTAGGAATAATGACCAATGTTGCTCAAGGACGCTGATGACAATCTGGATGCTGATTGGTTGAAACAATTAGCCTGAATCTCGTCCAATTACAAGGTTCAATTTTTTTATCCCATCCCCGTCGCCATTTGTTATGACTTTAAGTTGCTGTCGTTTTCTACCCTGTGCTAATTGTTGTGTCCTTGACTGGAAAATTAGAGAGCAGCGTACTTATCGATCGATTTCAGTGACACGTAAACACGAACGAACGGCCTACAGTCCTGATTGGTCCCACTTCCCTGTCTAGCCCAGTTAGTTGAGTCCAGAACACAAGTCACAGCCTTTGAGATATGAATCATTATATTTCAAACATACTTTGTTTATATACTAATCAAGCATACCACATCGTACCATAAAATAGAAAACAACATTTTGTACAATATTCAACAAGTGAACAGATATCGACCAATAGGAAATGTCCATTTAAAGTCCAAGGACACCATTGGACTTAACATGATAATTATTGGTCTATTCCTCCGCATCCACAACACCTCTCCTTTTTTTGAAGATCCGGAGTTGATATCCGGATTTTGAAATTTTCTGGGTTCATCCTCCCCCACGAAATAATGTTGGGTCCTCATATTCCCAAGTTAAAATTAATTTGACTTTATTTAACACATAATTGTCAGATTGAACAGGGAAGTCACTGAAAGTGATTAAATAGTGGGGAACAATGTCGCTTGATATGAGGTCACCAACGTTTGATTCTTCTGGAACATTATCATGGGATTTGTTGAAAATCTCATTTGTAAACAGTTGATCACTGAGATAATCAACATCTATCAAAATTGTATTAGATTTCTGATCATCATTTGATGCATCTAACACATTTTCTGGTACAAGAGGATCTAGATAATAAGATTCGTCAGAATCTCCTGTTGTTGACTGATGAGGACCGTTTGGAACAGCTAGACACATTATACTGCACAATTTGTTTCCTGTTTCTTTGTGCGAGGGTACTGTAATTAATTTATGGGCATTTAATAAGAGATCTTCTTCCTGTGAGCTGGGTACATCACTGTCTGTACACGTTTCAGGAACAGTGGGATTTGAACCCACGACAGGGAATGTTTCCGAATTTGACATTTCTGGACAACTGGGCGTATCATGAATGACTTTCTCGTTTACATCACTGGTCGTCCAGGATTCACAGAGGCTTTTATAAACAGCTTCATATGTTCTGCAGTTGTTTTCCAGATCAGTCTGCAGATGAGAAATGAACTTATCAACTTCTGTTGCATTTCCGAAACATGGAAAATTTACCAACAGTGTGCGTAAATTTTCTAAAAAATTCAACTGGCTATTTTTGAAGCACTGCTGTTGTTGCTCAAGTAGAAGCTGTAATTGACCGGAAAAGGTAGTCATTTTTTTTCAGCACCTGCAATGAAAATTGACTGTAGGAATAATGACCAATGTTGCTCAAGGACGCTGATGACAATCTGGATGCTGATTGGTTGAAACAATTAGCCTGAATCTCGTCCAATTACAAGGTTCAATTTTTTTATCCCATCCCCGTCGCCATTTGTTATGACTTTAAGTTGCTGTCGTTTTCTACCCTGTGCTAATTGTTGTGTCCTTGACTGGAAAATTAGAGAGCAGCGTACTTATCGATCGATTTCAGTGACACGTAAACACGAACGAACGGCCTACAGTCCTGATTGGTCCCACTTCCCTGTCTAGCCCAGTTAGTTGAGTCCAGAACACAAGCCACAGCCTTTGATATATGAATCATTATATTTCAAACATACTCTATTTATATACTAACCAAGCATACCACATCGTACCATAGAATAGAAAACAACATTTTGTACAATATTCAACAAGTGAACAGATATCGACCAATAGGAAATGTCCATTTAAAGTCCAAGGACACCATTGGACTTAACATGATAATTATTGGTCTATTCCTCCGCATCCACAACACCTCTCATTTTTTTGAAGATCCGGAGTTGATATCCGGATTTTGAAATTTTCTGGGTTCATCCTCCCCCACGAAATAATGTTGGGTCCTCATATCCCCAAGTTAAAATTAATTTGGCTTTATTTAACACATAATTGTCAGATTGAACAGAGAAGTCACTGAAAGTGATTAAATAGTGGGGATCAATGTCGCTTGATATGAGGTCATCAACGTTTGATTCTTCTGGAACATTATCATGGGATTTGTTGAAAATCTCATTTGTAAACAGTTGATCACTGAGATAATCAACATCTATCAAAATTGTATTAGATTTCTGATCATCATTTGATGCATCTAACACATTTTCTGGTACAAGAGGATCTAGATGATAAGATTCATCAGAATCTCCTGTTGTTGACTGATGAGGACCGTTTGGAACAGCTAGACACATTATACTGCACAATTTGTTTCCTGTTTCTTTGTGCGAGGGTACTGTAATTAATTTATGGGCATTTAATAAGAGATCTTCTTCCTGTGAGCTGGGTACATCACTGTCTGTACACGTTTCAGGAACAGTGGGATTTGAACCCACGACAGGGAATGTTTCCGAATTTGACATTTCTGGACAACTGGGCGTATCATGAATGACTTTCTCGTTTACATCACTGGTCGTCCAGGATTCACAGAGGCTTTTATAAACAGCTTCATATGTTCTGCAGTTGTTTTCCAGATCAGTCTGCAGATGAGAAATGAACTTATCAACTTCTGTTGCATTTCCGAAACATGGAAAATTTACCAACAGTGTGCGTAAATTTTCTAAAAAATTCAACTGGCTATTTTTGAAGCACTGCTGTTGTTGCTCAAGTAGAAGCTGTAATTGACCGGAAAAGGTAGTCATTTTTTTTCAGCACCTGCAATGAAAATTGACTGTAGGAATAATGACCAATGTTGCTCAAGGACGCTGATGACAATCTGGATGCTGATTGGTTGAAACAATTAGCCTGAATCTCGTCCAATTACAAGGTTCAATTTTTTTATCCCATCCCCGTCGCCATTTGTTATGACTTTAAGTTGCTGTCGTTTTCTACCCTGTGCTAATTGTTGTGTCCTTGACTGGAAAATTAGAGAGCAGCGTACTTATCGATCGATTTCAGTGACACGTAAACACGAACGAACGGCCTACAGTCCTGATTGGTCCCACTTCCCTGTCTAGCCCAGTTAGTTGAGTCCAGAACACAAGCCACAGCCTTTGATATATGAATCATTATATTTCAAACATACTCTATTTATATACTAACCAAGCATACCACATCGTACCATAGAATAGAAAACAACATTTTGTACAATATTCAACAAGTGAACAGATATCGACCAATAGGAAATGTCCATTTAAAGTCCAAGGACACCATTGGACTTAACATGATAATTATTGGTCTATTCCTCCGCATCCACAACACCTCTCATTTTTTTGAAGATCCGGAGTTGATATCCGGATTTTGAAATTTTCTGGGTTCATCCTCCCCCACGAAATAATGTTGGGTCCTCATATCCCCAAGTTAAAATTAATTTGGCTTTATTTAACACATAATTGTCAGATTGAACAGAGAAGTCACTGAAAGTGATTAAATAGTGGGGATCAATGTCGCTTGATATGAGGTCATCAACGTTTGATTCTTCTGGAACATTATCATGGGATTTGTTGAAAATCTCATTTGTAAACAGTTGATCACTGAGATAATCAACATCTATCAAAATTGTATTAGATTTCTGATCATCATTTGATGCATCTAACACATTTTCTGGTACAAGAGGATCTAGATGATAAGATTCATCAGAATCTCCTGTTGTTGACTGATGAGGACCGTTTGGAACAGCTAGACACATTATACTGCACAATTTGTTTCCTGTTTCTTTGTGCGAGGGTACTGTAATTAATTTATGGGCATTTAATAAGAGATCTTCTTCCTGTGAGCTGGGTACATCACTGTCTGTACACGTTTCAGGAACAGTGGGATTTGAACCCACGACAGGGAATGTTTCCGAATTTGACATTTCTGGACAACTGGGCGTATCATGAATGACTTTCTCGTTTACATCACTGGTCGTCCAGGATTCACAGAGGCTTTTATAAACAGCTTCATATGTTCTGCAGTTGTTTTCCAGATCAGTCTGCAGATGAGAAATGAACTTATCAACTTCTGTTGCATTTCCGAAACATGGAAAATTTACCAACAGTGTGCGTAAATTTTCTAAAAAATTTCAACTGGCTATTTTTGAAGCACTGCTGTTGTTGCTCAAGTAGAAGCTGTAATTGATCGGAAAAGGTAGTCATTTTTTTTCAGCACCTGCAATGAAAATTAACTGTAGGAATAATGACCAATGTTGCTCAAGGACGCTGGTGACAATCTGGATGCTGATTGGTCGAAACAATTAGCCTGAATCTCGTCCAATTACAAGGTTCAAATTTTTTATCCCATCCCCGTCGCCAATTGTTATGACTTTAAGTTGCTGTCGTTTTCTACCCTGTGCTAATTGTTGTGTCCTTGACTGGAAAATTAGAGAGCAGCGTACTTATCGATCGATTTCAGTGACACGTAAACACGTACGAACGGCCTAGAGTCTCTATTGGTCCCGCTTCCCTGTCTAGCCCAGTTAGTTGAGTCCAGAACACAAGTCACAGCCTTTGAGATATGAATCATTATATTTCAAACATACTTTGTTTATATACTAATCAAGCATACCACATCGTACCATAAAATAGAAAACAACATTTTGTACAATATTCAACAAGTGAACAGATATCGACCAATAGGAAATGTCCATTTAAAGTCCAAGGACACCATTGGACTTAACATGATAATTATTGGTCTATTCCTCCGCATCCACAACACCTCCCCTTTTTTTGAAGATCCGGAGTTGATATCCGGATTTTGAAATTTTCTGGGTTCATCCTCCCCCACGAAATAATGTTGGGTCCTCATATTCCCAAGTTAAAATTAATTTGACTTTATTTAACACATAATTGTCAGATTGAACAGGGAAGTCACTGAAAGTGATTAAATAGTGGGGAACAATGTCGCTTGATATGAGGTCACCAACGTTTGATTCTTCTGGAACATTATCATGGGATTTGTTGAAAATCTCATTTGTAAACAGTTGATCACTGAGATAATCAACATCTATCAAAATTGTATTAGATTTCTGATCATCATTTGATGCATCTAACACATTTTCTGGTACAAAAGGATCTAGATAATAAGATTCGTCAGAATCTCCTGTTGTTGAATGATGAGGACCATTTGAAACAGCTGGATTCAGTGTACCGCACGATTTGTTCCCTGTTCCGTTGTGGGCGGGTACTGCAATTAATTTATGAGCATTTAATAAGAGATCTTCTTCCTGTGAGCTGGGTACATCACTGTCTGTACACGTTTCAGGAACAGTGGGATTTGAACCCACGACAGGGAACGTTTCGGAATTTGACATTTCTGGACAACTGGGCGGATCATGAATAACTTTCTCGTTTACATCACTGGTCGTCCGGGATTCACAGAGGCTTTTATAAACAGCTTCATATGTTCTGCAGTTGTTTTCCAGCTCAGTCTGCAGATGAGAAATGAATTTACCAACTTCTGTTGCATCTCCGAAACATGGAACATTTACCAACAGTGTGCGTAAATTTTCTAAAAAATTTAACTGGCTATTTTTGAAGCACTGCTGTTGTTGCTCAAGTAGAAGCTGTAATCGATCGGAAAAGGTAGTCATTTTTTTTCAGCACCTGCAATGAAAATTAACTGTAGGAATAATGACCAATGTTGCTCAAGGACGCTGGTGACAATCTGGATGCTGATTGGTCGAAACAATTAGCCTGAATCTCGTCCAATTACAAGGTTCAAAATTTTTCTCCCATCCCCGTCGCCAATTGTTATGACTTTAAGTTGCTGTCGTTTTCTACCCTGTGCTAATTGTTGTGTCCTTGACTGGAAAATTAGAGAGCAGCGTACTTATCGATCGATTACAGTGACACGTAAACACGTACGAACGGCCTAGAGTCTCTATTGGTCCCGCTTCCCTGTCTAGCCCAGTTAGTTGAGTCCAGAACACAAGTCACAGCCTCTGAGATATGAATCATTATATTTCAAACATACTTTGTTTATATACTAATCAAGCATACCACATCGTACCATAAAATAGAAAACAACATTTTGTACAATATTCAACAAGTGAACAGATATCGACCAATAGGAAATGTCCATTTAAAGTCCAAGGACACCATTGGACTTAACATGATAATTATTGGTCTATTCCTCCGCATCCACAACACCTCCCCTTTTTTTGAAGATCCGGAGTTGATATCCGGATTTTGAAATTTTCTGGGTTCATCCTCCCCCACGAAATAATGTTGGGTCCTCATATTCCCAAGTTAGAATTAATTTGACTTTATTTAACACATAATTGTCAGATTGAACAGGGAAGTCACTGAAAGTGATTAAATAGTGGGGAACAATGTCGCTTGATATGAGGTCACCAACGTTTGATTCTTCTGGAACATTATCACGGGATTTGTTGAAAATCTCATTTGTAAACAGTTGATCACTGAGATAATCAACATCTATCAAAATTGTATTAGATTTCTGATCATCATTTGATGCATCTAACACATTTTCTGGTACAAAAGGATCTAGATAATAAGATTCGTCAGAATCTCCTGTTGTTGAATGATGAGGACCATTTGAAACAGCTGGATTCAGTGTACCGCACGATTTGTTCCCTGTTCCGTTGTGGGCGGGTACTGCAATTAATTTATGAGCATTTAATAAGAGATCTTCTTCCTGTGAGCTGGGTACATCACTGTCTGTACACGTTTCAGGAACAGTGGGATTTGAACCCACGACAGGGAACGTTTCCGAATTTGACATTTCTGGACAACTGGGCGGATCATGAATGACTTTCTCGTTTACATCACTGGTCGTCCGGGATTCACAGAGGCTTTTATAAACAGCTTCATATGTTCTGCAGTTGTTTTCCAGCTCAGTCTGCAGATGAGAAATGAATTTACCAACTTCTGTTGCATCTCCGAAACATGGAACATTTACCAACAGTGTGCGTAAATTTTCTAAAAAATTTCAACTGGCTATTTTTGAAGCACTGCTGTTGTTGCTCAAGTAGAAGCTGTAATCGATCGGAAAAGGTAGTCATTTTTTTTCAGCACCTGCAATGAAAATTAACTGTAGGAATAATGACCAATGTTGCTCAAGGACGCTGGTGACAATCTGGATGCTGATTGGTCGAAACAATTAGCCTGAATCTCGTCCAATTACAAGGTTCAAAATTTTTCTCCCATCCCCGTCGCCAATTGTTATGACTTTAAGTTGCTGTCGTTTTCTACCCTGTGCTAATTGTTGTGTCCTTGACTGGAAAATTAGAGAGCAGCGTACTTATCGATCGATTACAGTGACACGTAAACACGTACGAACGGCCTAGAGTCTCTATTGGTCCCGCTTCCCTGTCTAGCCCAGTTAGTTGAGTCCAGAACACAAGTCACAGCCTTTGAGATATGAATCATTATATTTCAAACATACTTTGTTTATATACTAATCAAGCATACCACATCGTACCATAAAATAGAAAACAACATTTTGTACAATATTCAACAAGTGAACAGATATCGACCAATAGGAAATGTCCATTTAAAGTCCAAGGACACCATTGGACTTAACATGATAATTATTGGTCTATTCCTCCGCATCCACAACACCTCCCCTTTTTTTGAAGATCCGGAGTTGATATCCGGATTTTGAAATTTTCTGGGTTCATCCTCCCCCACGAAATAATGTTGGGTCCTCATATCCCCAAGTTAGAATTAATTTGACTTTATTTAACACATAATTGTCAGATTGAACAGGGGAGTCACTGAAAGTGATTAAATAGTGGGGAACAATGTCGCTTGATATGAGGTCACCAACGTTTGATTCTTCTGGAACATTGTCACGGGATTTGTTGAAAATCTCATTTGTAAACAGTTGATCACTGCGATAATCAACATCTATCAAAATTGTATTAGATTTCTGATCATCATTTAATGCATTTAACACATTTTCTGGTACAAAAAGATCTAGATAATAAGATTCGTCAGAATCTCCTGTTGTTGAATGATGAGGACCATTTGAAACAGCTGGATTCAGTGTACCGCACGATTTGTTCCCTGTTCCGTTGTGGGCGGGTACTGCAATTAATTTATGAGCATTTAATAAGAGATCCTCTTCCTGTGAGCTGGGTACATCACTGTCTGTACACGTTTCAGGAACAGTGGGATTTGAACCCACGACAGGGAACGTTTCGGAATTTGACATTTCTGGACAACTGGGCGGACCATGAATAACTGTCTCGTTTACATCACTGGTCGTCCGGGATTCACAGAGGCTTTTATAAACAGCTTCATATGTTCTGCAGTTGTTTTCCAGCTCAGTCTGCAGATGAGAAATGAATTTACCAACTTCTGTTGCACCTCCGAAACATGGAACATTTACCAACAGTGTGCGTAAATTTTCTAAAAAATTTAACTGGCTATTTTTGAAGCACTGCTGTTGTTGCTCAAGTAGAAGCTGTAATCGATCGGAAAAGGTAGTCATTTTTTTTCAGCACCTGCAATGAAAATTAACTGTAGGAATAATGACCAATGTTGCTCAAGGACGCTGGTGACAATCTGGATGCTGATTGGTCGAAACAATTAACCTGAATCTCGTCCAATTACAAGGTTCACAATTTTTCTCCCATCCCCGTCGCCAATTGTTATGACTTTAAGTTGCTGACGTTTTCTACCCTGTGCTAATTGTTGTGTCCTTGACTGCAGGGTTTGATAGCAGCGTATTTATTGATCGATTACAGTGACACGGAAACACGTACGGACGGCCTAGAGTCTCTATTGGTCTCGCTTCCCTGTCTAGCCCAGTTAGTTGAGTCCAGAACACAAGTCACAACCCTTGAGATATGAATCATTATATTTCAAACATACTTTGTTTATATACCAATCAAGCATACCACATCGTACCATAAAATAGTAAACAACATTTACGACAATATGTAACGAATGAATAAATAATAGCCAATAGGGAATGTACATTTAAAGTCCAAGGACACCACTGGACTTAACATGATAATTATTGGTCTATTCTTCCGCATCCACAACACTATACAATTGTATATGAGTGCTAGTTCCGTGAGGACATATGAGCAAGGAATAACCAAAATGATGTAATCGAAAGGTTATAACACTATGTTGCGTAATGTGAGTAATAACAATAGACTTAATAAGTTAGTAACAAATTATAACGTGAATGTATTAAGATGATTAACATAATTTTGTTACAATAATTAAAGGTAACAGAGGTGCAAAATAAATTAAGTGATATCATGAGTAATTATGAATAAGATAATAAGAATATGAGACATAAGTATAGGGCGAAATGAAATAATAATAATGATAATAACAATAATAATAATAATAATGATAATAATAATAATAGTAATAGTAATAATAAAGGTCAAGGTGACGATAACGATAGGACGGACTTCTTTTGTACACACAGTTCTGACTTGAGCTTATGAATAGTAAGAGCTTCTACCATATTTAAGAGTTGGATACGAAGAAACCTAAGTAAATTTGGATGAATCGTATATACAACCTTAAAATCAACCTTTGGACCAGTAGAATGATTAGAATTGATTAGAGTTGTTCAAGTATGGAACTCCTAACTACTTTCATATCACCCTTATAGAACCACGCTGGGACATGTTCCCGTATCCGAGTTGAAAGCGGGTGCTGGCTACGGCCGGTGTACCTTGCTCCGCAAGAGCAGGTGAACTGGTAGATGCACATGGAGGCGACCAGATGAGGAAGCGTATCCTTTATGGACACAGAAAACAAGTTGCCACTAATGAACTTAAGCGATGTAAGACATACTATGAGCATTCTAATAAGAAAATTACCAATCGCATGAAATATAGATTTGGTTAGTATATGCAGAGTTTACATCACACAGTGTATAATTGCCACTAACATCGAAATGGTTTTTAAAGAAGCATCAAAACATTTAAATATATCTAAAAAAACTCTGAACTACTAACAAGTAGCATAAACAATATAACAAAAGTTATTATCAAAATATGAAAATTTCGTATTTACTTGTAGTGCGATACCAATAGACTGAACATCATATAGTTTCCAGGCTTCCACCTTTCTGATAACACCAGTAGCAGCAAGCACTGCGATTAAAATGGACTGCCTATTAAGAAAAAACAAACGGGAGTTAAAACAGCATCAATTTATAAGCTACTTTCTAAGATGAAACTAAAAAATGCCGACAAAATCGCAGCAGAAAATGCAACAGAAAATGATACGAATGATATGTTATTAAATTCATAGTACAGAGGAACTAGTGGCCAGTAAACAAAAAACTTTTAATTCCACTATATAATAAAATCTATTGCTGATATACTGAATGAAATGGTTTCATCTTGAATTGAAGTG